GAGAAGGAGAGAAGAGGGAAAGGGAGAGAGAGCGAGGAAAGAGTGGAAAAGGGAAGGACGAGGGGGGAAATAAGAGCGAAGGCAGAGAGAAGGAATAGATGAAGGAGTGTGAGAGCAGAGGGAAGAGGGGAGATGATAAATATAAGGTGGGAGAAGAAAAGGGGAGGGAGAGGGATAAAAGGAGGGAGAAGGAGAGAGATAGAGAGAGGGAGGGGTTGAAAGAGAGGTAGAAGGATAGGGAGCAACAATGGGAGAGGGAGTAGGAGAAGGAGAAGGAGAAGATAGGTAGATAGATAGATAGACAAATAGATAGATAAAGAGAGAGAGAGAGAACCATATTAAAGACGGACATACAAACAGATCCAAGAAAAGAAAGACACAAACCACACTACAAACAAACAACAAAAACACTAAAAATAGCAAAGCGCAAAGCCGATCTACCGGAACCGACTAACCTATTTAGGCGACCCAACCAAAGAGAGAGAGAGAGAGAGAGAGAGAGAGAGAGAGAGAGAGAGAGAGAGAGAGAGAGAGAGAGAGAGAGAGAGAGAGAGAGAGAGAGAGAGAGAGAGAGAGAGAGAGAGAAGAGAGAGAGAGGAAGAGAGAGAGGAAGAAAGAGAAAGAGAAAGAGAGAGAAAGCAAAAGAGAGCGAGAGACAGACAGAGCCAGCCATCCAGCCAGGCAAAGAAACAAAGAAAATGAGAGAAGAGGAAACAACCCCCCCCCCCCAAAAAAAAAAAAAAAAATAGTAAAAAAAAAAAAAAAAAAATCCGAAGAACAGGCAGACAAACACCAATAACCAACCAATCAATCACAGACAATACACACAAAAAGCACAATCCCCTCCATCACCCGATCGCATTCATCCCTTGTTGTCGCCCAGCCAGGCAGGGGACGATAGTGCTATCCCACAGAGGGCGTTATGAGGTGATAATCCCGCGAAGCATAACTCACATGGTTGAGCAGTCACTGGAAGGAGAAGAGAGAGAGAAGGAGAGGGAGGGAGGGAGGGAGGGAGGGAGGGGAGAAGAGAGAGAGAGAGAGGGAGGGAGGAGAGAGAGGGAGGGAGGGAGGAGAGGAAGGGAGAAGGAGAGGGAAGGGAGGAGGGAGGGAGGGAGAAGGAGAGGAGGGAGGGAGAGGGAGGAGGGAGAAGAGAGAGAGAGAGAGAGAGAGAGAGAGAGGAGAGAGAAGAGAGAGAGAGAGAGAAGAGAGAGAGGAGAGAGAGAGAGAGGAGAGAGAGGGAGGGAGGGGAGGAGAGAAGGGAGAAGGAGAGGGGAGGGAGGGAGAAGGAGAGGGAAGAAAGAAGAGAGGAGAAGGAGGAGGGGAGGGAGGGAGGGAGAGGAGGGAGGGAGAGAGAGAAGAGAGAGAGAGAGAGAGAGAGAGAGAGAGGAGAGAAGAGAAGAGAGAGAGAGAGAGGAGAGAGAGAGAGAGAGAGAGAGAGAGAGAGAGAGAGAGGGAGAGAGGAGAGAGGGAGAGGGAAGGGAGGGAGGGAGGGAGGAGAGGGGAGGAAAGAGGGAGGAAGGAGGGAGGAGGGAGGAGAAGAGAGCGAAGAGAGAGAGAGAGAGAGAGAGAGAGAGAGAGAGAGAGAGAGAGAGAGAGAGAGAGAGAGAGAGAGAGAGAGAGAATGTTATAAAATTGCAGTTTGAAATAATCTGTACATATACTTACATAGAAATCCACACACATACACGCACATGATACACGACAATTTCATTCTTGCTTTCTATGTGACCATTACACTCTCCGTTGTATGTCTGGTAATTAAATTGTTTGATAATTGGTAATATATATATATATATATATATATATATATATATATATAATATATATATATATATATATATATATATATATATATATATATATATATATATATATATAATATAATTAATATAGGAAATCAGTTCCTAGTAATTCGCCTTTTCTCTCTGTGTGTTTGCATGTGTGTGCGTTTATTTGAGTGCACATGTGTGTTAGGTGTGGTTGCGCGTGTGTATGTGTGTGTGTGCGTGTATGTGCGTGCATGTGTATATTTATGTGTGTGCGTGTATGTGCGTGCATGTGTATATTTGTGTGTGTGCGTGTATGTGCGTGCAGGTGTAATTGTGTGTGTGCGTGTATGTGCGTGCATGTGTATATTTGTGTGTGCGCGTGTATGTGCGTGCATGTGTATATTTGTGTGTGCGTGCATGTGTATATCTGTGTGTGTGTGCACATGGGTATGTGTATGTATTCATGCATTTTATACATAACACCCATAACCCACAATCAAACACTCGTTCACTAAAAAGCTTGGTAGATAGTTTTCCAAAAATGTGGATAATCTAGGGATAATAAAAATAAGTAAACCATCCTTCCGCTACCACCTAATTTATCCTGAAAATAATAAAATGTAACAAAATAAGCAAACGTGACAAAGTGACTGATAAGGGAACCGGATTGAAAAGGGAACCGCATATGTGCTTTATAAGTCAGGAAATACGGTTCTGAACCTTTTACAAGTCGCAAAATATTATGATATAGTGAGTCCAATATCAGGGAAAATAACGTTCGGCAGGTTTTTATTGATTAAAAATAAAAAGAACTTGTTAAAAAGTAGCTAATTTCAACACAAAACACCAGAGATTGTGTATTTTTTCAAAACCAACAAAGAATATGGAAACATTTGTGTTTTTAATGTTATGTATACATGCATACATACATACATATATATATATATGTCTGTCTGTCACAACACACACACACACACACACACACACACACACACACACCACACACACACACACACACACACACACCACACACACACACACACACACATATATATATATATATATATATATATATATATATATATATAATATATATATATATATATATATATATATATATATATATATATATATATATATATATATATATATTAATATATATATATATTACATACATATATATACACTCGCACACACACACACATTTACGTCTACATGTATATATGCACATAAACATACATATCAACAGAGAGATCACAATACCAACGCCGATGCTTTACCATATTAAAATGCAAATTGTTTCCGACGTGACTCCATATTGTGGCAGACGGGATAATTTGATATTGGCACGTCTCTCTCTCCCTTTTTTCCTTTTTTTCTGTTACTCATCTCCTCCCCCCCCCTCTCTCTCTCTCTCTCTCTCTCTCTCTCTCTCTCTCTCTTCTCTCGCTCTTCTCTCTCTCTCTCTCTCTCTCTGTTCCCTTCTCTCCTCCCCCCCTCTCTCTCTCTCTCTCTCTTTCTCCCTTTTCTCCTCCCCTCTCTACCTGCCTACCTGCTCACACCTCTCCCACCCTTCCTCCTCCTCCCTTCCTCTCTCTCCTCATATTCCTTTCTCATATATTACCCCTGGCGATTCCTCCTGGACTAGGAATGCAAAAACAAAATCGTCCAATGTCTCTGGAATTCCATTACTCGCAGTTGTCAGAATATTGACTTCCGTGAGTATTTTTCCCGGGTCTAATATCGTGTATATGAAAGTGACTGAGTTCATTATTGGTATTCCTTGAGAAAATTTGGATTATACTCGTTGTTTTATATTTTCAGAATTATGCTTCTACAGACAGAGAGCAAAGTTTAATTACGAATATGATTATATAAAAATACGTTCAGTAATATGATGCAAAAATATGCCTTTACATCAAGACAATGTCGACTTATATGGAATCACGAGGAAATATCACATACAGATAAACGGAGAAATATCACTAAAAATAAGCGATAAAATATCACACTGAGATAGATATGAAAACGCACTCATAATGATAAATAAAAGTGATAAGATTTGTCATCGCAATAGCTTTCTAAGAAAAGAAAAGAAAAAAAC